TAATGACATACGTTAGTAATGGGATGCTGTCACACAAAACCTATCACCTGTTTATTGACTTATGCCTTTTTTCTATAAAAGACTTTTTTCGTGCAGCTGTTCGCATAAATAACATTTGTGACACGTCCTGTCAAATACATCCCACATGCACCAATCCATATACACTATTTGATAACTTTGACCAAAGTCAACAATTCCCTAATTATTTTCTAGAGTATTTCATCATCCTGCTTCTGTTTATGCAGTCGATAAACTGTAGTAAAGTTATCGATATAAGCATTTGAGGGTTTTGGTTTTGTATATATATTGGTTAAGAAAGCAACACTGACAAAGGGACTTTCCAAATGATTAACACGACCCTGAATGAATGCATCATAGAAGAGTCTGCGAAAACTCTCCATAAATTCTTCATTTTAGGTGTATTGGCAATGGTGCTGTGCATCCCTCCAACAGTCTTATTGAACGTGTTAGTTCTAATTGGTATTTACAAGACTCCCTCCTTACATACACCTAACAATGTTCTCCTGTGGGGTTTGGCTTTAACCGATCTCGGTGTAGGTGTTTTGGCGATGCCTCTATTTACAGTTAAATATGTTGCTTTTTACACCAAAAATCATGGTTTATGGTGTGAAAGTTTGGCATTGCTGACAAAAGTGCTACAGCCACCATTTTGCGGCATTTCAATTGCAACTTTGACGTTAATCAGCATCGACCGTGTGATAGCCCTTAAGTTTCACCTACGATATGCCAGCATGGTAACCACTCATCATTTTACAGCAGCGCTTGTTATCGTTTGGATAATGGCTTTCACCATCTGCTTGACGTATCTGATTAACGTTAATATCATACATTGGTCTACTGTTTTTATATTCGGTGTATGTCTAATAATCTGCAGTTCTAACAACACTTTTATTCTTCGAACTCTCCATCGTCATCGTGTGGACATACAAAGACAGCACGACCAAGTGCAAATAAATGTGCATAGCGCGGAGATGGCTCAGAGAAGGAAATCATCTCGCAACATGTTATGGGTTTATTTAATGTTTATTGTGTGCTACGTACCGTTTCTAGCAATGAGAACAGCAAGGAACTACAATGGAACCAACACGGATATGCTACATGCAGTTTATGAAATATCATACGCGCTTACTTTCCTAAATTCCTTGATCAATCCCGTGTTCTATTGCATTAGGATGAGACGATTGCGAAAAGCAATGTTAAGTTGGATACCAATWACTCAAAGTCAGTTTTGTTGGGTTTGCAACCGAGTGAAAATGGAACCAAACACCTGAATGTCAAAATGAAATTGATTGTTGTCATTTTCAATGAAAACATGTAGTGGCACTTTATCATTTTTTTTTTCAAATAGATCTGATTGGCTAACGACTCGTTGCTATCAACTAATTAAGCAGCCCACCGATAATAGAGTCTCACTGAGCTTTAGATTCGGTTTTTCAATTCTGAAACACGATATGTGGGCTTGTTGGATATGTTATCTCTTAACTTTAGAGTAATTCATCTTCTCTAATTGTCATCTTGCGTATATCGTTCCTAAAATGACATGCAGGGATTCTGTGAAAGTTCACTTTATCAAAATCATAGTTATTAGAGGGACTATATTTTTACAGTCGATGACGTACTTGATCTTTTATCTTTTGAACCCAAATTTTTCGACTGTGGGTGGCACCCAAGAAAAACKTTTCCCTATCATAATGTATGTAAAGTATATGCATTATTGTATGTGTGTATGTCAGGTACTATGTGTGTATGCAAAACGCTKCATCCGGATCCTGATGTGTTCTTTTTTTCTTTTTACAATAATGTATAAGTAATAATATTAGCGCATTAAGTCAAACGAACGAATTTAATGGATGAAAAATTTGAAATAAAAAATTGTCGTGATTCCAGGAAATTSAAATAAATTTAAGCAATCAAGCTACAGACATGGAAACAGAGTACAGTGTAATAACCACAGAATGGCTCATTCGATTATTCAGTCTGGCGCAGACAAAGGAGAAATTGGAAATCACACAACAGCTGCTGAATGGCTGTTTTGCATGTTTGGTGACCAAAACCATTGGTCTTAAATTCATTGTACTTGTTTGGACAAACAACGATGGTGCAATACCTGGCCAAATGTTGGCGGTGGATCACCCGACAGTGCTGGGTTGTGTTGAGTGGTCAAACATTTCATGTTTGGATGAAGACTATAGGAACAGTGAAATTGCTAGGCGTCAAGATTGATTTTGACCGCGTGCAATATAACGTCATAACATATACATGCGCTCATTGTTTTAATGGCAAAGTTTTTACTCGTGCCTCCGGCCCTAGGCCGAGGACACGAGGTAAAAAATGCAACGCCAAGTTTTTCCGAATACTCTCCGAGTCGATTACAGAGTGACGTCATCATTAAAGTATGATTACGAACTACTGCATACRATCTTGTTATACATGTTATTTAACAATTAGACCTCGAGGTCGAGTGGACTACGAGCTAATAGCCCATGAGGCCGACTCCGCGAGGTCGAATGGGCTATTAGCTCGTAGTCCACGAGGCCGAGAGGTCTAATTGTTTTAGTATAAACATACTAATCTGTCAAATAATGAAAACAAATTGAAATATTCTTAAAACAATTAATTAATGAGATGCCGCCATTTTGATTTTCCCGCGAGTGGTCTATCACACATCAGACCATTAGTGGAGTAGCCAATCACAGCGCAGTTCGACTGATAGACCATTAGTATGTTTATACTAACAATATATATATGTAGCTTTTGTACTAATTCTTTGAGATTCGAGCCSTTATGTTATTCATAAACATTMTTTTGTAATAGAATATGGTTTAGGTCATAATGGTTGGTGTATCGAGCCAAATAGTGCATTTTCCTTGGCGAGCTATAAACCGATACTTCATAGCTGAGTGAAGCCGCAACGTGGCGGCTGTCTGAGTCTGAATTGCATAGCCTAAATTTTCCAATTTTTTAGGGATTCTGTCTCTTCTGGATTAATGAAACCAACGGCATTCACGAAGGAGTATTCCTAGATGAAGATTGAAGCGATCATTGTYTTATAGAGGTGTATAACCTTCTTGTTGACATCGCTGCCATGKCGACAACTATCGCCGACACTTTGCAAACTGTCTGATTTTGATACTGYAGTATACTTTAAATTACTACAAATATAATAAGTCTATCCACATTTTTACTTTGTTTTACAGTACAAGTAAAAACAACGAAAGACTGTCAGAGTGAACGACGAGGTTTGATAGCCTTTATGCAAGGTCTAGCCGGATTGAGTCACGTTTGCATTGCCGTGTGTGATGTTTTCTGCTATGCTTTTAAAAAAAAATTTCAAAAACTATTGTATATCAAGAGAGCTAAATCTCGTTTCGTTTTGTTGAATACAGATTCCCGTTTCGTTTCGTTTTGTCGATTATATAGTAAGCCAGCACATGCAATTTTCAACACATTTAGTCAACATTGCTGTCAGGGTCTAGTTATGTTAGTTGTGACGACAGGAGCGTAGCGTCCTTTACGCATATWYGCACGTGCGTACTAGTGGCAAGGAAATATTAAGATTTTCGCAAAAGTTACTAAAAATTGGAAATCGCATTTCCAAGAGTTATTATTTCAAAATTTCATGGGGTAGGTCCAGACTCCCTTAATATTCCCGTCTTTGGCGGTCGTTAYACCCCCAGATTCAAAATATGTGTCGAAGTCCAAGACATGTGCGTACTAGACAAAAAGTCCACGCAAAGCGMCTGGACGAGATTCATCGTAGCTCTGGAGATGACCGCGTAGGTAGAAAGCACTGWTTTATTTTGTATTAAACATCAAGAKTGATGTAGAAAAGTACGTTATGAAATATTGAMCTGTTTGGTTTTGGCATTTTTGACGTAAGAAATTCCAGCAAGGCTAAATAAGATCATCCCTAACGTGCTGCTCTTTTAAGATTACAATTTGAGCATTAMTCATATAGTTTTTAGTAAGCAAATCAATAATATCGATAACTATTAAATGAGAGTACAAATTTGGTGATCAACAGATCAGACTCTTASATTTAGCATACGTTATTACCAGGGCTGTGACAATCTCTGTATCATGTAGAGTTTCGGACTTGCCTTTCACCAGAAGTTGAAATGAATTCCTYCTGATTTGACCTTTCGTGAATCAAAACTGGGCAAACAAACTCCACCTGACATCATTGAGGTATCAAGTGAGTCATGGACATACATGCGGTGACCGTGGGAAAATTGAAGAAACTTCTCTACGTTTGGATGTATATGAATCAAACCTAGGTAGAGCGACTTCAAACGACATTGCCCACATGTCTTGTCAATTACATTATGTGATGCCATTTACCATGCATTTGAGCTTGCAAGAAACTTCTACAATTACTGGCTTAGTCAATATATAGACTGTTCAAACAAAGTTTGGACAATTTTGTAACCTTTTGATTTATATTTTAGGGAGGTGCTGATGGAGGATTTGATAAAGGGGAAAAATACATCTTTTGCATATAAATACTGGGAGTCATCGCCGAGTTTTCCTAGCCAGTGGCTAATCAGTTATGCATCAGACTTGATCGCACTCACGACCATTACTTAGAATGTTTTATACAACTTTTCAGTAAAATCAGACGTTTTGATTGGTTGGCTTTCGTGTGTTATCAAAGTATAGATACACGGATTACGTCAAAACTAATTGTTTGTTGTATAAAACAGATAGATCTCATTTTTCCGTGCGTGTGTACTCTAATAGATACACAGATGACGTCAAAATGTAGTGAGAACAACAGTCACGCACTCGACTGCGTCTCGTGCGTACTTTTTTGTTCTCACTACATTTTGACGTCATCTGTGTATCTATTAGAGTACACACGCACGGAAAAATGAGATCTATCTGTTTTATACAACAAACAATTAGTTTTGACGTAATCCGTGTATCTATACTTTGATAACACACGAAAGCCAACCAATCAAAACGTCTGATTTTACTGAAAAGTTGTATAAAACATTCTAAGTAATGGTCGTGAGTGCGATCAAGTCTGATGCATAACTGATTAGCCACTGGCTAGGAAAACTCGGCGATGACTCCCAGTATTTATATGCAAAAGATGTATTTTTCCCCTTTATCAAATCCTCCATCAGCACCTCCCTAAAATATAAATCAAAAGGTTACAAAATTGTCCAAACTTTGTTTGAACAGTCTATATATTGACTAAGCCAG